CGGTTACTCCTCCTCCTCCTCCTCTTCCTCTTCCTCTTCCTCCTCCTCCTCCTCCTCCTCCTCCTCCTCCTCCTCCTCCTCCTCCTCTCCTCCTCCTCCTCTCCTCCTCTCCTCCTCTCCTCCTCAACCTCCTGGGGCAGGGTCTTGCGAGGGCCAACTCTTGCCTTGTCCTATGACATCCATCGTCTGCGAAGAGAAGGAGAGGAGCAGGGAGAACAGTAGAATGAGTGGAGATGAGGATCGTGGAGGTGGAAGATGAGGGAGCGGAGAAAAGGAAAGAGAAGGAGGAGGTGAACAACGAGGAAGGGGATAGAGGGGAGGGGGGAGTGATGAACAAGGTGGGGAAGGAGAAGGGAAGGAGGGAGAGAAGGCCGTCAGGTTGTATATCTCAGCGCAACAAGTGTAGATCACACCCAAACTTCAAAGTCCTTTGACAGTTCCTCGACATTCCTGAGTTCAACATGTCATGGACGATCAGTGCCCGCAGGTGTTCCAAGACCTTTCATAGTGAAATTCTCCCACCCCGAACCCTGTCAGCAGCAGCAGAGGCAGCCCTTTGACATCTCTCCGTCACAAGGGGAGCGCGTCTCAAAGAAGAAGGAAGGAGAAGCTCCGGGGAAGAGGAAGAGAGAGAAAAGGGAGAGGAGGGGAGAAGGTAAGTTGCAGGATAGGAAGAGGGAGAAAGGAAAGGGGAAAGAAGGAAAGGGGAGGAAGGGGAGGGACAGAAAGGAAGGTGAAAGGAAAGACAGGAAGGATACCGATAGATGGGAAGGGCAGAAGGGGAGGGGGCAGAGGGAGGGAGGGAGGGAGGGAGGAAGACGACGAAGCACCTTTCCCATACTTCTTGTAGTGTATCTTCCAACCGTTCCTCCACTCCCTGTGACGGAGCTCAGAGAGCGGACGCACACCATCACCTGTGTCTACCAGTATTGTGATTCTGCCAGTTGCTCAGTCTGCTGCTGCTGCTGCTGCTGCTGCTGCTGCTGCTGCTGCTGCTGCTGCTGCTGCTGCTGCTGCTGAACGAGTCAATGATCGATAGAGGAACCCATCCGAGCTCAGAACGACTTTGTTCGTGAGGTTTGCAATCAGATTGAATGTTGAAATGAGAAGGAGAAGAGAGGTGTTGAGAGATGGTTGACCAACCTGGGCGGTAACTGAAGGGGCACCTTCTCTGGTACAGCGAACAACATTCCTGCAATCACTTGCGTGACAGACAGCAGTGGCAGCAGCAGCAACAGCAGCAACAGCAGGAGAATCAGCAAGAGAAGGAGTAGGAGCAAGAGAAGAAGAAGGAGCATGGAAAATGGAGCAATCGCGGGCAGCAACATTGTAGACAAACACGAGCTCACCTCAGCCTTGCATTCCTCGGGGAGGAGATGAGCTTCGTCGGGTAGAGCTTGTTGGTCGCACATCCATTCTGACTTTTAAGATATGATGGCCGTGACTGGAACATCAAACAACCGCGTTACTGCTGGCAGACTCTACGACGCAATCACCAGGGGCCTGTTGATGAAGCCGCAGGTAACGTAGAGATGGAGAAGTAGGAGGAGGAGGCTGAAACTTGTTTGCTTCATGACTGCGACGCATGTCAGAGCCACGAATTTACCCGTAACATAAAACATCGCATCACAGCAACCAGATGTCTGGTGGAATACAACATAATGTTGGTGCGGTAAGTCAGAGCGGTTACGTTTCTTGTAATACAAAAATTCATCACTTGGCTCGTCATGCGATGTCACATGTTATGTGAGAGAGTAACCTCCAATTCATATCGTGTGTGCAATTCGAAACAACCTCTAGTCTAAGGCGTGATAACCAGCGATCAGGTATGTTCTCAGATTTCTTTGGCTTGTTCCTGCATTTTCATACTCACAGATCGTCTTCGCATAGTATCTACCCTATCCCATCTCATCGTCGCACTCCCTTGAAACTCACCCTGTCATCCTGTCATCCTTGAATGCCCCTCCTCCAGTCATCTGCCTCTCGTCACAGCAGGTCGCTTCCTCAGCATGCAGCTTTCGCTTCGTCACACCATCACCACATGCTCTTGCTCTACCTGCTTCTCCTCTCCTCCTTCGCTCTCCCTCTCCTCCCCTGGTGCGCTGCCTTGCTAGTACACCATGCCCCCTTTCCCTGGTGAGGGATTAACCTACCCCACCCCATCCTTAAGTTCACCCCACCCCCAACCATTGTCAGATGTTACTTGTACCCCTTTCTAATCCCTCCAACTACCCTACCACAAGAGATTGAAAGACTACCCCCTAGAAAAATCGATATTAGAGATCTCAACCACCCTGTCACCCACCAAACCACAAACATCCACCCCACCCCCTCTCTGACCAACATCATCGAGTCCATCAGGGGTCTTTTGCAAATGTTCCGACCGAAGTACCCCCTAGAAGTACCAGATTAGAACCCCTTCTGTAAACCATGGACCCCTCCTTGCCCAGCCTACTACCCTACCCATAGAGAGGGGAACTGGAACCAAGGAATGATGGAGACGACGAAGACGACGACGACGATGGCGATGATGGCGATGATGATGATGATGACGATAGCGCATGCAAGCAGACAAACGCTCTCATCTCCCCCCTCCTGTTCCTCCGCCGCTCGACGACCTCTGCATCGGATTCCGCATGATCCCATGCTCGCTGCCTTCGCACCCCTTCATCTCCTTCCTCTTCCATCTCCTTCCTCTGACATCCGAACAAAGCTAGCAACAAGAGCTTCCTCGTCTTCCTCCAGTCTCACCACGGGGCGGTTCTCGATCCTTGGACGGAGGAAAGGCCGTCTCGGGGAGGTTCGATGCTCAGGTACCGAAGGGGGAGAAGTAGGAGAGCCGGGTGCAGACTGGAGGAGCTTCCGTGCGAAGTTGGTAGCGCAGGAGAAGAGCAGCAGCACGTCCCTACACGACAGCGACGAATGGGCCTACAATGCAGGGGAGTTCGTGGAGCAAGGGAGCGTGCTCCTGGGAGGCAGCGAGACAATGCTGGGGTTCGGCCTCCGCCAGCAGTACTTTCACAAGTGCGTGCTGCTGGTGCTCTACCACAACAAGGACTTCACCAAGGGTGTGATCATCAACCGACCGACGCTCATGACGACGAAGCGAGGATGGAGGAGGTGGTACGGCGGGGACGTGCAGGGCATCACGGCGCCGGAGTTCGTGCAGGAGGAGGTCTGCCTCCATAGGATTCAGCACCCTGCAGCTCAGGAGGTAGGAGAAGGAGCGTACCTGTGCTGCAGCAGTATCCTTGGGGATGCTGGTGGATGGAGTGGAGGGAGGGTTGATGCAGGATCTGCGCCTGCTAGGAGGGCTCCTGTTGTTGGGGGGGTGAGTTTTGCTCTGCAGGTTTCAGCGACGGTGATCGAGGGTGTTTCCTACTGCTCGTTGCAAGATGCCGAGAGGCTTGTTGAGGCTGGTGAAGTTCCTCCTGATATGATTCGCTCCCGTCCCCCTACCCTCCCTCTCCCCTTCTCTCCCCTCCCTTCAACTCCCTGTCTCCCTCTCCCTCTCCCTCTCCCTCTCCCTCTCCCTCTCCCCTCCCTCCTTCGCTTCTTCTTGTTTTCCTCCTCTTGCTATCCCTCTGCTGCCTGCCATCTTCTGTCTCCTGCCAACTGTCTGCTGTATTATCCCTCCCTTATCATCTCATCTCATCTCATCTCATCTCATCTCATCTCATCTCATCTCATCTCATCTCATCTCATCTCATCTCATCTCATCTCATCTCATCTCATCTCATCTCATCTCTTCTCTTCTAATCCCTTGTCTTGTCTTGTCTTGTCTTGTCTTGTCTTGTCTTGTCTTGTCTTGTCTTGTCTTGTCTTGTCTTGTCTTGTCTTGTCTTGTCTTGTCTTGTCGTCACATTTCCCCGTTACTCTTCCTCTTGCTTTCTCCGAGGTATCTAAGGCTAAACTTTCAGGTGTCGCCAAGAAAGAAGATTTCTGGCTGCTCGTCGGATATGCAGGTATGAACTCCCCCTCCATCGTTATCATCAAGATATCCAAGTGGTGATGAAAGAGATGAAAGAGATGTAAGAGGTTATTGAAATGATTATTGAAATGATTATTGAAATGACGATGATGGTGATGATGATGGTGGTGATGATGATGATGATGGTGGTGGTGGTGGTGGTGATGATGATGATGATGATGATGATGATGATGATGATGATGATGGAGATGATGATGATGATGGAGATGATGATGATGATGATGATGATGATGATGATGATGATGGCAATGGTAATGACTATGATGGTGATGATGGTGGTGATGAGTTTTAAGCATACATGTCAACTTCGGAGTGTTTATCTGATCAGAGATTGCAGGCTGGGCTCCTGGGCAGCTTCAGAACGAGATTGACCAGAGGAACAGCTGGCATGTTGCTTCTGCCTCGTCAGTGCTGCTGAACCAACTTATCAACCAGGTTTGTGATGGCAGAAGAGAGAGAAGAGAGGAGATAGAAGAAGTAGAAGACATGTTGATGCGAGAAGAAGGAAGGAGTGTGTTGCAGGGAGTTGGCAGAAATGTCGATACATTTAGTCAGAAGAAATGATACAAGGAGTGCGAGACAGTGATAATAGATGAAATAAGGAACAGGTGATAACGAGGTAGTAAGGGAGAATGATGGTAGAAGAAGGAAAGGAAGATGCAATCTTGTCGATCAAGTCTTTGGTTTCACAATTTCTGGTGTGGAGAAAGTAGTGTTGTCAAGTGTATGATTTGTTGCATATTGCACAATCTCTTGTTGAAAATTCCATCATCTCTCATGTTTTTTCGATGGCAAACAGAAGAGCTCAGTTGTTCTTGTCGCTGTCTTTGCTTGTGATGTGCAGAGATTGTTGTTCTGCAATGATGTGCATTTTCTGGTCTGATCAGCAGCATCAGGCCGCAACAGCAGACACGATGGATGCTGGGATCAGCGTTTGGGAGACGTTGATGTCGAAGATCGGACTGAAGGAGAAAATCGAGCAAGACAAACACAAGTTTGCAGACGAAATGCTGCGAGAGTGGACCAGGACTTTGCTTGCGGATCCAAAACCAGTGAGAAGAGGATGGTGGAAGAAGTTGTTGTTGTTGTTCATGGTGGTGGTGGTGGTGATGATGATGATGGAGATGGAGATGAAGCGTGAAACGTATTCACCTCGATTGCAGGACAGCAAGGCAGTTGAGAAACTCCTTGAAGCTGCAAGAAGAAGGCAAGAAAGGAACACAAAGGTAGTGAGATCAATCAATCTCTTGATTTCCCTTAATGTCCAAGTTCCTCTCCTTGATATCCTTTGGCAATTTCTTGCTTCATTTTCCTTTTCTCGCTCGTTCTCCTTCTGCTATACCGCCCAAGCCCCCCGTCTTCCTCTTCCACCGCCTCTTCTTCTCTCCCACCTCCCGT